AAAAAAAAAAAAAAAAAAGAATCATCGGGGGCCGGCCCGGGGGCGCACTGGATAGTGCGCCGCATGGGAAGCGCGGCGGCGCTCCCGCCCGAGGGTTCGGATCCCATATACAGACCGGTTCCCGCTCACTGGCTGAGCGAGGTGCGGGAGCAGCACCGAGGGTTGCGATCCCGTTGCCAGTCCCCGGTCCGGTACGGGGGCAACACTGAGGGTTGCGATCCATTGCCGGACACGGAAAAAAGACAAAAGACAAAAAAAAAAAAAAAAGAATCATCAGAATATTTCTACCCAATCAGATGTTGGTTTTTAAGTGTTGTTCTCCAATAAAAGAAACCAGGTTTCCTTGGAAACTGACCGACAATAGGGCTGGGGTAGGGAAAATACAAAATGAGCCTAGAGCACCTTATAGTGCCAAAGGGTAAGGGAGTAAGTTTAAAAAACAAGAAAGTAAGAACTGTATGGGAAATAAGTAAGACAGAAAGTAAGGGAGTAAAGAAGGTGTGGGGGAAACCTGTCAAAAGGACATGGAGGCCAGTCTGGAAGAAAGAGCTGCCAATGGCTAAATCTAGAACAGTTTGAGCTCAAAATAAATAATAATAGTATTAGATTATAAACCAAAGAATAAAATAAGTATTCATGAGTCCACACTGACATAAATAAATGGAAGAGAAAGGACAACTCTTCCTTACAAAATAATTTTACTTCTAGCAATCTAACGTAGGGGAAAATATCTGAAATGTAGTTAAAGACTTAAACATTTAAAGAAGCTATGTATTAATTACAGCCCTATTATAATAATTAAATATCTAAAATAATGATTTCCCCATTGATGAATTAAAGTCATTATAATCTCATTTCCAGAGAATATTTATGAGGAAATATTCATAATATGATAATATGCAAGATCTCAAAATATACACCTATACTTACAATGTATATGCCAGTTTGGTAAAAATGTGTGTGTGTGTGTTTGTGTGTGTGTGTGTTTGTAGACACAAGAAATGTTCAAAATGGTTATGTTTGGCTGAAATAAGAAAATAAAAATCATACATAATCTTATTTGCTTTTCTTTGCAAATTTTGTAAATTACCACTTCTTCTAATACAATCTTTAAGATACTGGTAAATTTGGGTACATATATTAGTCTGCTTCTGCTGCTTCTAACAGAAATATCTGGAACTGGGGTATAATCGCAATTTGTAGCAATGGGCATGCTGCCACTATGGATCTGGACTTCACATCTTGGGCATGAGGCGTGGCAATCAACTTTATATATCATGAATATTCATGATCCATAAAAACATAAAATAAAAGGAAGGCTATCAATTTTAAAATTATTAAATAATGAAAATTTTTATTAAATAATTACTTGAGCTAATCAATCCCACTCCAGCTGTGCACTAGCATCTATAATATAATTTAAGTATACTTGAGCATGAGTTCATCTGTAAAACATCTATTTATAAATATTAAGCATTTTCTTCCATGTACCAATATCCCCTTCAGAACATGCACTCTATATGCAATTGTCTAGCATGTGAAATGTTAACAAATGCTTTAACTTTAAAATTATTCAACAGTATCTACTACATTAAATAATTTCAGACATAAGTAATATTTTATTTTACACATTTAAATAATGACAACTTCTAAAATGTTTATAACGCAAGAATGGATGATGTATAAAATAAATGTAGATAATACAGTAAAAAGTAAAACAAGAAAATCAATTAGAGAACAATATGTTGTAGTTTGACTCTAACCATCCCCAATACTAATTTAGTTGTGAATTCTACATTAGCAGCAACTTCTATCTGGTTTTAGATCATAACCACATAATGTGCCACATTCACAAAAAAGTGTTTCACCTAATCTTACAGATGATTTATCTACCAAATATTTGTACTTTTTAAAATGTAGTTGTGATCACATAGATACAATCTTCTGATACAATATAAGATATATGTAATTTCAAGTATTTAGGAGCTTTGTTCTCTTCAATGAGAAGTTTTGGGATCACACAAAAAACATACCAAAATCCAGTATTATTTTATTTCTGCTAAAAAAAAAAAACGTCTTGAAAATCCATCGATGGACAGAAAAAGGTCACTAAAATGAATTCTGCTTACTTGCTTCATTTTCCGGAGCACAGCAGTGTCTGGCTCACAGTTGGCAGTAAATATATGTTCAATTAAAGAAAGTTGAAGTATACTATTTCTTCATGACATAGCTATGACAGGCTTTCATTTTGATTCATGTAAAGTTATGGAACTGGATTCATTAACTAATAAAATTGATGTTATTAAAAAAGAAAATTTCCACAAGCAATTAGTCCAAGTAAATGTGAACATAAAGAACATTAGTGTAAACTTTTTACCTATGTGAATACACAACAGAGAAAGAAGAACCATCTACAATAAGAAAACTGTAAAAAGCCAGTTGACAAATATGATTTAGATTTGTTTCTATTGTTGATCAAGTGATGAAAGATTGATGTTTTCCATAATTGAACTCTTGAGGAAAATGTGAATAATGAAAAATCAGGAAAACAATTTGGGAGAACATAAATTTAAATTTGTAAACATTCAAATTTTCTTATGACTCATTTTCTTAAAGTAAGAGGAAAAACAAATTTCAAAAGAAGAGGGTAAAGAAATACTATTTAGTCTCTCCAAATACTTAAGATACCAAACATAAAAGCTGGGACAACTGTAATAGCATTTCCTACTACCATAAAGATATGCAGATATTTGTCTTGATTTTTGTGTCAACATTAATCAAATTATAAAAAGCCATGTATAGGGACACAACTGTATTTAATTTTTTTTATAATGTTTATTAGCCAACCTTCTAATAAGACATACATTTGAAAGTCTATCTCTGTTCCTCTAGACACACACATACACTCACATACGTATGCATGCATATACATGTGTTTGTGTGCGCACACGTGTACATGTATCCCTGAAAATCTGGCCTTACCATATATATTTTTGGAATAATGTGCAAACATATGCCTCAGAATCAAACCTTCATATGTGTTTTGAGAATAACTTAAAAAGAATTTCTCAGAATAAGGCAAAAAGCATACTCATACTGCATTCTGTTCAGCAACTTACTATGAGATACTGTGTCCTAATATCCCTCAAAGTTTCTAAGAGGTATTTTTTTTTCTTCCTAGTAAAATGTTGGAAGAATGTTTAAAAGTAGATTAAACTATGTCAGGCCCTTTAAAAGAAAACACTGTTCTTTCAAGAAGGTTTTTATGTAGCAAAAGAAAAGAAAAACGAGCATTGCAAGCAGTTCTGAAAGCACAACTGAGATGCAATTTGATAAATAGCCTTCCATCACCCAAGCCAGAGCAGTGGCAAAGTATGCTATCAGCACTTTCATCAAAGGCACTATTGACTCCTCTTTTTCTAGCCCATTTTTTTCATGACTTTCTCGTTTTGTTTACTCAGTCAATGATTGGGAAAAAAATGATTCCTTACCTTTTGGGTGAGATGTGATGGAGTCTGCTAGTGAAGCGTCCTTTTCTCCATCTTTGCTGCTGCTGCTGCCACTAGCTTCACTGCCACCATCTCTCTCAATCAGTTTATCCACCATAGCAATTATGCAGTTCAGGCTCTTCCCCACATTGGCCCACACCCTGTCCTGAAAAGAGTGTGAGTATCACTACACGTTTTTATGTGAAAACAAGATAAGGCAAAATCGGATGACTCCATTTTAGAGGAGCAGTTGCAGGAGCAATCATAGGAATGCAGACTGAGTGACCGGCTTTAATTCTCCCATTAATTTGGTCGGACAATGGATACACAAAAAAATTTATTTTCTCTTCATAAAGCAAAAAATAAGTGCTATAAATCCATTTATGTAGTCCATTATTTTTGCTCTGTCATAAAGAAATGATGAACTACCATACAATATAAATCCATAATTGTGCATGAATTATGACATTTTAAACCAGAGATACCTATTTTCTTTATCAACACTAAGGGGAAAAGCAAAGACACACCAATATTTTTAAAGAATGGCCACCATTTACATTAGAAATTCTCGTGGTTTCTTTTTAAATTGTGGTAACATATCCATAACATAAAATTTACCATGTAAACCATTTTAAGTGTATAATTCAGTAACATTAAGTACATTCACATTGTTTTGCAACCACCACAACCACCATCCACTTCCAGAACTTCTTCATCTGCCCTAAGTGAGACGCTGTATCCTCTTACACATGAATTGCCCATCCCTTGCTCTTCCAGTCCTGACAACTATCATTCTACTTTCTGCCTCTATGAATCTGCCTACTCTAAGTACTAAAAATTATGAAAGTGTGGTCTTCAGATCACCTCTGACAGAAAGGCTTGGAGAATTAATATGCAAATCCCTGGATCCCACCAAGTCTGTCCGATCCCCCAGGAGGAAGGCACTCTTAATTCAAGTTTTGCCAAGCTCTCCAGTTTGCTTTTGACCACACTAACTCTCAGAACCTCTACTCAATATTATATGCCATAACTACATAATACATCATTTTGAGTGATTTATTTCCTAGGAAGCAGCCTTACACTAAGGGGTTTCTTTGTCACTAATCTTTTTAGTTCTGATTAATACCCATTTTTGTTTAGGACAATACATGAAACAAATCCTTGATTAACAAAAACTGCTATTAATGTTTTTAAATAAAAAATTTTAATACAGTCATCATGATAGAAGCCTGTCATCCCTGACTTCCCTTCCTCCTCCTCTTCCCACATCATTTAGATGAAAGCACTGACTCCCCATCCCTCTCTCCAGGCATAAGAACCAAAAGGAATCTATAGTGCTTTCCCTGCATCACGCCATAAAGCAAGCTTTCAGTAGGTGCTTTCTCTGTAATAGAGCAGGTATTTCAGTCACTGTAAAGATAACACTTAATGATAGTACTTCCTTAATGGTTAGTATATTTTTCCTCAAATGTATATTTTTCATCTAAGTTAATTTTGCTACTTTATAAACATATAAATTCATTTTGGGGAGGATAAATCTAGGAAGATAAAACTATAGTTGAATTTAGAATATTTGACGGTTGTCTTGCAAAGATTGTTAGTTGAGTAATTCAAACATATTAAAACAAATGTGGGAACATACAGACATGTTTACTTTAGCTGAGGAAGTAATAGGGTTTTGTAAAAACGCAGCGCACTCAAAGTTAGAAAGGGCAATTTTGATGTCCTTATGTGACAAGCTTCCTATGAGACCTCGGGAAAAACACCTCCCCTCTGGGAAGCTGCAGTTGTCTCATCTACAATAAGGAATCGTACCAACCGCACCATGCTGCAGGGGTAGCCAAATACTGTGATTTCTATAAAAACACTTGGTAAAATTATTACAATTTGGTAAGACCCCATCCTGTCCTTACTGGCTTTCCCAAACATGTCAATCTTGCTTTCCTTCACCCTGTAATCTTAAGTGGGAAATAGTCTATTAATCACAAATAATCATAACGATCTTTCACCTAAAGGCAGATCTTTCCCACAAAGAACTGAAAGCACTTCCACTCTAAGAGAAATTAGGACAATAATCACATCCATGAATGACATCATCCTCTGCCTGTTGTCTGAGAAAATGCGGCAGAGGCATTTCTGAGCCATGAGCCAGGGGAGCTGAGGAAGCTTGTTATTCCAGAAGAAAATGTTGGGGAAAAGGTAAGTAACCTGAAGTTCCTGACATCATTTATATTGGGATTTGGTAAGGAGCTTATATTCGAGACCACAATAACAAATTAAATAACCTCTATTTCAAGTATGTTTTAATCACTACCACCAAAGCTGATTAAAGGGAAAAATGAAGCAACTCTTTGGCTAACACTGAGAATAAACTCTGCCACTGAAGAAAAAAGGGGAGCAGATTCCTCTCAATTTTCCAGATTAGCTTTGTACATGAGAAAAGTTTTCAACTTCCTTCCTGTTCCTGGTGTTGAAAGGACCTTTATATTTTGATCGAGGATCGAGCAGTGTTGAAAGCTGCCCTTCTCATATAAAGGTATGTAAGGTAAAAATCAACTGCTCTTAATCCCATCTCTGAAGAGCCTGAACATGAAGGCATTTAAAAGATAATTTGCCATTCACATCTAAATATCATTCTTTCTTTACAGATATCTTGGGTTATAAGATCCCACTGGTAGAGAAAGTAACTTTTGCAGCCAATAGAGACATTTTTATTGACCTGGAGCATAGTAAAGCATGTTCATTGACTAAGACCAACAACCCACACCATAAAAAGTTATATGGTAAATAAAAAATGTTTAATCATCAATAGTTACAGGACATAGAACCTGGGAAAATGTTTGTTGGGAGTGAGAAATTGAACAGTTTCTTATGTAATACTAGTACATAAAATACACATAATCAGGTACTTTCCTGATGGCACACTTGGCAGCAGAGCCTGAGCAGATTCAATCTCTTTTTTCTCCTGTGGGGAGGAGTTCCTGCCCAGCTAGTGGTGAGAGAAGCCGGCCCTACTGGTCAGTGCCTTCTTCTCTCTTATGGCCTCTCTGAGTAGATTCCAGTTATCAGTTTGTGCCTCTGTCTCTAATACTAGACTGTGAGTTACTTGAGAGCTGTGTGCTCACTATATGGCACAAGGCCTGGGCCTCAATAGCTTTGCAAGGAAGAAAGGAGAAAGGCAGAGAAAGAGGGAGGGAGCAAGGGATGGAGGAGGAGAGGGGTGACTCCAACCCAGAGACAGATTGAGAGCTGATTTTTATATTCATCTGGCCTATGTACATTATATGATTTAACCTTCAAAAACCACCAAATTAGGTTAATATTATTGACTCCATTTTTGGAGATGAGGAGACTTTAGGTAAGAAATGTAGAATAACATTTGACATTAAAATGGAATAAATGGGCTAGAAATTTCAATCTGTTCGACTCCAAGGACTTGAGTCTTCCTCTATGATTTCCCACAAAATTGTGGAACACAGAACCACAAACTAGACAGCAGAAGTCAGGAGGAGCCCAGAAGGGACAGGTGGAGGTGTGTGCCACCTCACAGGAGTAAGGTTAGGTTTTAGTCATCTGAGACTTGAAAATGAGTCCAATGGCAGATCCTGGACTAATTGACTACTCTACAAAAAGGACAGGCTAGTCACGTGTACCCTTAAGACTGAAATCAAGAGTGTCGTGTGAGGAGACAAAGCAGGCACTTGGTCAAAGGGTCATTCAGCAGGGGTCAAAAGACATAAGTGACCAGCATTAATAAAGGACACTGTCAGGATCATGACCCAAAACTCATTCATGTGGCCAGAATGTAAGGCATAGGTTACAAGGAGGAAAGATGATAATTCAATTACTAAGGGACTGAAGTATAAGGTAGCTGATTATTTTGAAACTAGGATGTTAAAGATAGGTAGGCAAGAGTCTTGAAGGGGAAATCTGACTATTTGAGTTCTCTCCTAAACAAGCCACTTTTCATTATACCTCTGTGAAAACATCCACAAAGGAAAATGGCCAGCAGAAATACATTCTCTTTCTGATGATATTTCCCACTATGCCAGCATAGGGGGATCGGCATAATGAGTAAATTTGCTTAGATTACTAGTAATGGCTGGGGCCTACTCTGCTTTCTTCTCTACTGAAATCACACAGTTAGTTTCAGGAGATGGAGGGATGGGTGTGCAGCTGTAGTACATGGCCCTTCCTGTCCCTCCCCTTCTCAGGCCAGGGAAGTATGAACAGCCTGCAGATCCTGTTTAGCTCCCTGGGGGAGGGAGGGCTAAAACCAGCCACCACCTATGAGAAAAACAGATTGATGGAACTTCTCTCCAGAAAGAGCAGCCATTATCCTGTTAGGACTCCTGCTGTACAAAAGAAGTAATGGAAAATTGGTGGGTTAAAGTCTAACCTTTATTTTTTTATTATTTTTTTTTCCTTTTTGTCTTTTTTCGTGTCCGGCAACGGATCGCAACCCTCAGTGTCGCGCCCCTACCGGACCGGGACCGGCAACGGGATCGCAACCCTCGGTGTCGCGCCCACACCTCGCTCAGCCAGTGAGCGGGAACCGGTCTGTATGTGGGATCCGAACCCTCGGTGGGAGCGCCGCTGCGCTCCCAAGCGGCGTACTGTAGCAGTGTGCCACCGGGCCGGCCCCTAACCTTTATTAAATGGAGCATAATTAGTGTCCTTACCATTAATAGAGCCTTCACAACAACCTCACTCCGTGGAGGAGAGGTGGCTATAAACTTTATCTGGTCAACGAGGGCACAAAGTCAGAGGGGAGCTAGCAGCAGTATTTATTCCATTCAGAATCAGGTGCTGATCTTGGTCCTTATTTATTTCCAGGTTAGGACATAAGCAAACATACAGGTCAAGCCCAGTGGCCTAGACACAAAAATTTGCTGGCCACATCAATGACTAGTCAGAGGGACATTACACCTGTCAGAGTGTGCAGTACAGGTAAGGGGACATGGTGCTTACTCAGCATGCCATATGTTTATAAGCTTGGTAGCATCAAGAGAAATCCTGACTGTCTTGGATCAGCAGTTAACTTAAAAAAAAAATTCAGTAAAGCTTAGCTGATCAACTTTTCTAATGCTAATTTTTGGTCACAAGAATGTGAAAACTAAACCAGAGCTGATATGTAGGTCCAAAATAGCCCTGTCATATCTATAT